ATAAACTTCAGGAAGGCTATCATCCCAACTGACATTGTTGGTGGTCATATGAACAGAGCTCTTGCTTGTACTATGACCGGTGCGAGGAAACCAAGAGGATCAAATACACCATTAATTGTTGACAAGACGCCTCTCCTCGTGTAGGGTCTTTCCCCCTGATTGGTATGAAACCTGAAGGTGTCATCACTCAGGTTCCACTGAACACCTAGACTTCGCTGTGTAGGTACACCATCACTGAGTGTCAGGTTCCTGATCTCTTTCTGGACCTCTTCTGCCTTGAATGCGTCGAGTACTGCCTGGGAGTTTGAAGCAATTTTGTGCAGATTTATGCCGGCCTTCTCCTTCAGCATGGTTTTGGTGCGCTTCATAAGTGAGATGGCCGTGTAACTGTCATCACATGACCGTCATCCACGTAGAAGTCGTTGAAGAATTGCCGAACACATGCTTCAGCATATGATACTCAATGAGAGGTTTGTTGAAGTCGTTGCTCTCATGCCAGAAGAAACAAAGGAAATTCCTGTGTTTCTCTGACACCGAAAAGCAACAGAAAATGGACTCAATATCTCCGCAGACTACCACTTGCCCTCGGCGAAACCTCATGAGGACACCCACCCAGTCATTGGTAAGGTTAATCAAGTTAACAACACACTAATGGAGCTTAACTTACATAAAAAATATATGGATGCTCAACCCTCAGGTTATAGCTTCTAAAAGCACTATAATTTTAGGCCTCTCAGACACAAAGTTGGAGACCGTGAACACAAAACTGTCCGTACCTGTCAAACAGTTAAAACTAAGCAACGTACCACGCATGCCCAACGCGGGCTGCCACCTGGATATAGCGCGCGTGGGAATAGCACCTAATTATGGGGTGCAAAAATATACAAATTAAAGCTTGGGTACAGCAAAATCTCCTATCTATCCTCCGTCAAGGCCTTCGTGGCTGTGTGTGTGTAACTGCAAAGCGACTCGACAGGAGACCAGGCGAGTGGCGCAGCCACGAGGCCTTTTCCAACTTGATTTTGAGGTTTTGTGGTAAATTATTGAAGCTTTCTGATATGCATTATTCATAAATTTCATGTAAATATAGTTGAAGCAGATGAGTCTCCGAAAGAAACGGCATCAACTCCAAAGCTTACGCGTTACGCATTGTTTCTGTCTGGTTTTTCATGAGGGCAATAAGCGGTGAGATGACAACTATGATGCTTGTTGGTGGGGGGGGTGGTGTTGACGTTGGAGTAACTCTAGCAGTTCATCAAGGCCGAACGGTCAAAGCAAAACGGCAGTGCTTGAAATATGGAGCTCTTATCATATCCCGTAGGTAGAGACGAAAACGTCACGCCCGTGTACAGATGCTTCAATAGCTTAACACTGCAACGGTTTAAACTTGGCAAGGTGAAGTTTTCCAGCAGCATATTTTAAAGAAATGTCCAAATACTTACCGCTCAGACAACTGACCTGCACTCACGGCCGCCGACACACTTGACACAGGTATCGTTAACTGCTCCTACAATGCTTGGACTGTTTCCGAAGTTGAAAAAAGCTATTGTAGTACCTATTCCTAAACAGTCTCCTCCGACCATTGACAAACTTAGATCGGTGTCTCTTACCTCGGTTTTCGCTAAATTTGCAGAAGGCTTCATCACTCGTTGGGTCAAATTGGATATTGAAGCAGAGGTTGACCCCCGTCAATTTGGTAATATAGAAGGGGTGTCCACGACACACTATTTGATTAACCCAGTGCATTATCTTTTCCAGGGAGCCGAAGATAGTCGCAATGTGGGAACAGTGGTCTTAACAGATTTGTTCCAAAGCCTTTGATCACGTGGATCACACCTGTCTCATTAACAAGATCATTGATATGGGTGTCCGCCCTGCCATTCTTCCCTGGATCTGCGACTTTCTACGTAACAGGCAATAATGTCAGTGCGTTCGATTAAATAGCGTCTTGTCTGATTATATTTCTCTGAAGGGAGGAATTCCACAAGGAACCAAGTTCGGCCCTGTGGGCTTTCAAATCCTTGTGAATTCTGCTGCTCAAGATGCAAAAACTGAATGCTGGAAGTATGTGGATGATATGACATTTGCAGAAAATCGTTTGGCTTCCCAAACAGGATCAATGAAAAATGATTTGGAAAAACTTTAACATTGATCTGAGGAGAACCATTTGAAATGGAATCCTAGCAAATGTCAGCCATTCAAGTCTGCTTCAGCAAAACCCCATCTGGGCATACTGACTTACGTATTGGTACTGACAGCATTCCATTATGCTTCCGAAGCCAAAGTCCCGGGGTGTGGCTGCAAAGTGATCATATTTAGAAATTGCTTGAAAAGGCCAATAAGAAAATGTTTTTGTTACGCACTTTGAAGAGATTTGGTTTTGGTCCCTCTGAATTTAGCACTATGTACACTGGTTATATAAGACCTGTTCTTGAATATGCAGATATCATTTGGCACTCGGGTCTCACCCGTATACATTGTTATAAAATTGGATCCATTCAAACGACGGCGTGTAAGACGATCTTAGGTGGGCACTCCGCCTCTTATGATGACAATCTTAAAACCTGTAATTTTGAAACCCTGGAAGAAAGGAGACTTGCCCATAGTATTCAATTCGCTCAAACACTCAGTAATAACAGTCGCACTTGTTCTTTGTTACCGTCAACAAGATTTGAACAACACAGAAAGCAGCTGAGAAATAATCAGAAGCTCTTACAAATTCGCTGTAGAACCACGAGATTCAAGAAGAGTCCTGTCTCTTTCCTTACTGATGTTTTAAACAGGTAAAACCCAGCATTATTTTGAGTCCGTGACTTTTAGTTGTGAAGTTGATATCCGTCAATAGTGATGTGTGTTTTTTTTAATGTAATTTAAATTGGTGTTAGTTTCTACTTTTTAATTTGTAACATACATGTAATTTGGCCGTCAGGCCATGAGATGTATGCAAAATAATAAAACATAAACAACGTAACGCGCCCCTTTTATAGCTCGGCGAGCCGGCCGCTCTTGCAACTTCGCCTGCGCACGCGCTACATGTGACCAGGCAGTGACTTCCGTTAACAAATCGCCCTACGTGCAAAGCGGAGCTTAAGCTATGCGCGCCTAACATCTGCCCCACTGGTCAGTGCTCTGAAATATGTGATTGCCGAGCTTTCGGTAACTGAGTACCTTCTTCAGGGCAAGCAGATTCAGTTCTGAATGAACGCGGAAAAATCGAAGTTCATTCCCCTGGATGCAGCGTTCCAAGTTCGAAAATGACGCGCTGCTCCAGTTCCCTACGCTGCACATCAGATGACGCTTTCCGCAGGATGCAGACGCTTACGTCACCGAGGGAATGTGGCGGCGCGCAAAAGTGCTGCGCAACAGTGAGACCAGGTGTTTGTTGGCGCACACTGCGCAAGTGTTCCGCGAAGCGGTCACCAAGGCGACGTTTGGTCTCTCCGACGTACAGTTTACCACAGCGACGACATGTAATGCAATAAACCACATTGCTAGTAATGCATGTACATGTATGATCCCCGCGTATGCGGTAGCTACCGCGGGGGCCGACGACCGACGGGCTGTTAAAAATGTAGGGGCAGGTGTTACATCTGGGGCGCTGACAAGGGGAATTGCTGCCTGCTTTTGACGGCGAGATGGAATCCAACCAGGAACGTACAACCATGTTCCCGACAGAACGATCGCGCCTAAACGCGCAAATCGGGGTTCGGCGAAAATGGAAGCTGTGGCCGCATCATTTCCGAGTGTACGGAAATGTTTGAGAAGAATATTACGTACCGGGATGTTTCGAGGTTGGTATGTGAGTACGAGGGGGACGCGATCACGTTGCTTGGCCCCGGTGGGGCAGAGAACTCGGCATCGCTACTACAAATCCTATGCAGTCGAAGTAACTGAGAGTAAGGGCTGGAGTTCTTACACTTGAGGGGGTGAGACGATTGGTACTGCAGGTAGCTGTGGGAATCTGTGGGTTTTGTAATGCACAGTTATGCCAAGTTTCCGCGCACAGATCTGGACGCGCACATCGAGGAAGGTAACAGAGTGTTGGGACACATCAGATGCATAGCGCAGTGCTGGGTGAAAGGCACCCACAAACGCTAAGAAATTCAGAGTGGGAAGTTTGGGTTTTTTTTCCATAAAGGACTTCTACGGGTCAGCAACTGCTTTCCTGATTTTTCTGCATTAACATTCTTCCATTTTAATATTTCCTTGATGGTTTTGTAAAGTGCGGTTGTGCGACCACGATGATCAGTGATCACAAATTACCGAGTGTGTTCGGACATTTTGCAGAAGCACAGGCCTAGACGTGAACGACATATCCAAGACTCTAAGATATTCTCTGTCCCAGAAGATGGGTCTTTCCTAGTCGAAAACCCCACCCTCTGTTACAAATGATAATCGTTTAGGAAAGATAGAAAGGAATTAAAAACAGTCTACTAATCTGAATGTGGAAATTCACACCACAAAATAAGATGTTTTTTATTTTCTTTTGTGTTGGAAAACAAGCTTTGTTGAAACGACCCCCTTTTGTTCCAATTAGCAATCTAAAACCAAATCTTACTACATTTCCCCCTCAATATACATTTGAAAACGGTGTGCTGAATACCGCAGGACTTATGAACTATTGAAATTATTCGCTGCGGCTGGATATCAATTTGACGCCGCGGCAAGCTCTTTTAACTCGCCGCGGCGAGATATGGGGATAGCAATTAACAATAAAAATTGCAAGTGGCCCTTATACGCTTCCGTACCTATACGTGTCAAGACACGAGTAAGGGTATATCTCCTACCATGCGTCTGCTATAAAATGAGTTGGTCCTAAGTGGTGTAAATGGAGTACAATTTAAGGCCCCACAAAAGTGCAGTGATCATAAAAACGGAACCTCGCATGCAGGTTCTATACGGTTGCGACGTTGCTATTTGTTCTTCTGCCGGAACATGGTGGTGTCCCATGACAAAAGTTGCATACAAGATGAAACTTCAAAACCACAAATCAAAATGTTAATAATAGGAAGTAAAAATTATTCAAACCGCAGTAACAGTAAAGAAGTATCATGGATGAGCGAGTAAAAAGCTAATTTTGACCGATACAAACCCAATTAAAAACTGAGATTTTAAAAACAAAGCCACTCTTCCGAATGGCTTTCCAGCAGGACCGGACAGATTCTGTGCCACTGAAGACCATGTATGACCACTACTCAGTGTAGTGATTCCGACTTACAACGACAAACTGGACTTATTATGGTTGGTTTATTCCAGTACTTTGTGCCGGTTTGGAATCTTATTGATACTCCGCATCGTTGGAGTAAAACTCGTGCGCCTGTAGCAGCCGCAAGGGTCGTGTGAAATATAGAGGGCGCACTCCCTAAGCCACGCGGTAGCGCGCGGTACATACTACATGTACATAATTAAAACAAGTATAGTGTCACTAGAAGAACTTTGTATCAGCTGGAGGTGATGTCACCCATCACGGAGGAATGAAAGTACACATTCTTTCATGGTTGTATCCTCCAAACTAATTCATCCGGGGAATTTACACTGAGGTGAGAAAGGATTGGACACTGTGAAGGAGTATCCTTAAAATTTAGCTCTCCCTTTTATTACAGGAAGGGGTCCCTAAAGTTATAAATCCCCCAAATTAGAATAGAATGTTGAGCTTGAGCACGCATTGAGGTAGGCCAGTACTAGGATTACTTCAAATTACTAGTCATTGCTAGTAGGCCCTACTAGGCCCTAGCAGATTATGACATAGGGCCTAGGCCTATTTTCACACTTAGAAAACATTTTTCAGTTCAGTCTCATAGAGTGCCGAAGTGAATAGTCTCGGGTAGGGCCTACAATTAGAGAACCAACAAAGTGTTACAACTGAGTTCGGATGCCCCATTTTCAAGACAATGGTTTTCAGTCATGTATGACAGGAGGGATACCATCAAAGTATCATTAGAAAGAATACTGCTTCTACTTTTGGAAGATCCTTATACATTATAATCATATCTCATGGTTTGGGCATATCAACCCCTTTCCTCAGGGTTTGGTTTTTTTCTGGGACACCCTGTATAGCGCACATATCTATCACAACTGACTCTCAAGGCACTGTATTGTTGAAATCAGCACAGAAGATCAAAAGTTACTGCCTGCAAATCAGGCTGAGGACCCTTTAATGTGGTACACATGAACAAATGTCATTTTCAATTAAACCCCAATTCAGCAATATGTAAAAGCGATTGAAGTTGACAATCTGTCATAAGGTGTTACAATGTATTGTCACTGATATGTAATCCAGATTGTGAAGATGCTTTGTTTTTCTCGGACATATTTTCAAAAAGGTAAATTCATGCAAAATAAAAAACAAAAGACTTGGAAATCAAGTTGAACTGTATAATTTACTGATGACTTTGTAAGAGGTCAGTCAAGTCGGTCACAAACAGACTGATCATTTTTTAACTTTCCACATTTTCACTTCCTGTGTAATTTGAAATAAATCTATTTCGCAGGTGAGCCAGGTGAGGTGGTACATGTATCTATGCATAATGGAAACTAAAAACAGCCTCATTATAGATGTGCCATGTCACAAGAACCACATTATATGCCATCAGTATGTGTGACTATGAGTACATGACTGTGCATTCTTTATGTTCTGTTCACTCTGTTTTCCTTAACAGAAACACTACTGAGGACACAGTGACACTGGATTTAAACTACAGTCTGACTACATGTAGGCAAAAGTGCATCAAAAAACAACCGGAAAGTGACAGAAACAGTGTTGTTCAAAACTTTGGTTTTATTGTTAACTTCATCACCCCGCAAATGTGCAAGCGATAATCTGAAGAATTTTGACAATCATGGGGAATCACTTATTCACGAACAAGTGTGTGCAATTCAGTGAATATTCACTGAAGTCCTCTGTCATTTCTTATGGCATTTGGCAAAGTGTACGTGTGTTTGCTACCAGAACCAACACTCTCATGTCATCATGTACATTTTGTATGCTAAAGAGAAGGAAGTGTACTTTGTATTTGTGGAATATCAAAAAGCCGTACAGTAGTGACATCAAGTCCAACATGGACAATGAGCTAGTGAGGTCAGAAGAAGCCAACAGGTTTCTTAACAGCAAACACGAATGTAACAAAATGGATTCTGGAAAGAACACCTCTAAGCATGAACCTGTCTCTATCAATAATGGATATGATCAAAGTACATGTCATTCAGTGAAAGATAATTTGGATGCTGCTGCTAATGTGGCAAGTACAGAAACTGAGCATCTTGACTTTAGATTGGGTGAAGGGCATGATGCAATCGCAGAAGCAGCTAGTGATGAGAGCTGTGACAACAACTTGGGCAGAAGTGGAGATCTGCTGCAAAACACAGACTTAAGTGTAGCTGGACTCGGAAGTAGGAAAACTGTGAGGCAGTATACATGTTCTAAGAAGAGGAGTCAATTAAGGTATGTGTGTTATAGATGTACATGTACATGAACAGGTAGAAGAACCTTGTGATTATGTTTATGCAGCTTCGTTATCCTGATATTGAATATTGATGTGCATCCATTTACGGTAATCCATGTTTTCCTGTACACGCATGTACTTCTGGCTACTTGAATTTCTGAGAGTGTGCAGAATCCATTTTGAATGGGGTACTAAATATGTCTCATGATCAGGTCTTGAAATGAGGTTGCAGTGCTGATTGTTAATGGGACACCTGCAGGGCAGGGGTGTATCCACACCATTATATACGCTTCTGAAAACGAGAAAGTCCATGTACAAATGTGCACTTGTGGTACAGCTCATGTGTGGCTGGCAATTCAAATGAAATAGAGAATGAACAAAAATCTGAAATGTGTGTTCCATGTGTATCCTAAAGCTAGTGTAGGGTTTATACCATTTTTCCTCTACAAAACTGCAGTTCTGTTTTCCATTGATATCTAACCCATTTCATAAAAGCAACATTTCTGACCACAATTATTACTTGTTTGGATAAGTACATGTGCATGCAGCCTGATTTTTAATGATAAATATCCTTAATGTTTTTTAACATTCCATATTTCATCCTTTTTGTCAGAAGAAATGAGACTTTGACACCACCTCCCGGTGCAGATATTTTATATGGGATATCACCTTGTTTGTTGGCTCTTGAAGCAAGGAGAAGACAAGTGAACAAGGTGTATGTTACTCCTAGTTTTGTGAAGTCAACAAGACCTGAAGCTCAAGAGATCATGAAGAGGATACATGAGCAAGCTCTTAGAGGTCATACTTATGAAGTTCATAGGAAAGAGCTGGACTTGTTGACTAAGAGAAGACCTCATCAGGTGAGCTGATCAATCTGGATAAACATCAGCAAGAATATGGTTGTTTCACAATAGTGCACCTCCACCTCACAATGCACGAAATCTTTTGACCCAATGTGTGTTTGGAAAGGGTCGACAGATTTCCAGCGTTGTGATTGGCCAACGCATTGCAAACTCTTGGAGGGGCACTTTTGTGAAACGCCCGTATTGTTAAAGGTAAAAGGGATACATGATGTGTGCATATACATGTACATCTGAAGGGCTGTCCACATATTATTTTGTTTTAATAAGGGAGTAAATATGTGCTGGCATAAGACCGGCTCAGGAGACTGTTGATAATGCCTTTGCCTAGCACATAATTGTTTTCATTCATAAATGCCTTTTTAGTTGGAGAGTCAAAAGAAGCCGATATATGATGGATTTCTAGTGATTTTGTTCCGGAACCTTTTTAGTCGGAGAGTCAAAAGAATTCGTGAACACACCCATCGATTTTATGGTATATTCCTTGTGCAAGTAGTCTGGAAGAATCTCCTTATGTGGACTTCTGCTTGCAAGTGGCAAGTCGCACAGTCTTACTAATAGAAATGGATTAAAATGTCTTACATCCAGGTGCAAGCGAAGTTCTAATGCAGCGGCCATTATCAAATCACAGCGGGCATTATCAAATGTTAATATATAGTCAAGTTGCATATTGTTGAATAGGGAAATTGTCTATGGTATTTTTGAATGTAGTTTGAATTCCATGTGAATTTGTGTTACATTTTTTACATTTTGTATTTTTACTCTGTTGCATTTTATTTCATAGAAACCTTTGTCATTTTTATCCACTTCCTGCTGGATGGAATTTGAATATGCGGGACGAGTTCCAGGGCGATTTTCAAGATTGTCTGTTTTCAAACTTCTTCCTGAATTCATAACTTCATTTACTGAATGTTTTCACCAACACAAATGACTGTCTGGTGGCTACTCTAATCTGACAGGTAACCTCCATTGATGCCCGAGTATTGCAGCCAGGCCTGCTGCCCAGTAAAGAGAGCCCAGATTGTGCGGTGTTGCATAATTTCCTTTGTTTCCAAAATTGGCCCAGTGCCTTGCTAAATGGCAGGGGTGTCTTATCAAATGTAGCCAGATGAGCATGCAGTGGTACTGTATTGCTCATTGCTGGTGTGCTGGAACACTTCTGTCCCTGTTGATAATCCACAGGCCCTGAATGCCGCAAACAGTGGTATACTGTTTCAAAACAATGACGGATTACCTCCACTAATGCCAGCTGAAAAATGATGGTAATTCCCAGCAGTGGGTCTTTTGTTTTGAATACGGTCTTCTGTTAGAAGGCCCAGCTCCTTTGTCCGATTTCAGATAGCCTGGCTATGCATATGATGCAAGATATGTGGCAAAGGGGGACCCCCTCTATTGTGTCTTCTTTTGTGTTGATGGAATCTTTGGAATTCCTTTCAGATTTCTGAGGGGGGTGCAGTACCCAGTAGGCACAATAGCCATAGGGTATACAGGTTGTGCATCACATTAGGGGGGTTCCCCTTTTCCACATATCATGCCTGGTATGTACAAACCCAAGGAGTCCGGTACCAGAAACCCTGGCACCAAGTGGTTAACTGCTGTTTTAATCTGTTTTAAGTGCGTTGAGATTCTGTGCTTTTTGCATGTTTAAATGTAATGCGCTATACAAAAATAAATAATTATTTTATAAATGTATATGCAGAATGTTGACTTCTCTCATGCACAATGGGTTTGAACTCTCCTTGTACCCGCATGTAATCTATGTTTCTCTTTGACTTGTTAGACTGGTTGTATAGGTGCTGGTAAAGTGTATATGATGGGGGAAGGTAATGTACATGTATAATGCGTATGTTGGAACAGTTTTTGATGTATGAAAGCTGGTCCCCGTAGGTACGAAATGTGAGAAAGCAAATTAGCTGTCTGCATTTGTACACATTGCTGTGGAATGTTACCCCTTCCTCATATGCAAAGTGTATGCATTGTCAAGAATTGCCCCCCACACTGTGTACATACTCTATGGATTGTCCTAAAGTCTGCATTTTGTTAGTACAATATACCAACGTTCCACTCTAGACTAAAACAGAGTTGTTAAAGTTTTCAAATATCACAAACAAAAGGACAAAAAGAGCAGACAGAACTGTAAGTCCAAACCTACAGTACTTTACAAAACATCACTCCAAGTAGTTCTTGGAATGATTATTATTTCAGAGAGATGTTTATGTAGTGATTTCAAAAGCTGTTCACTTGTATCTTTTGTTACTAGGGTATTTGTTTGGAAACAAGTCGGATTCACTTTGAGCCACTGCCAGAGGACTTAAACAATGACGATGAGAAGTTGCAACATCCACCGGTATACTTAGCCATGGATCAGATTCTGGTAAATTAAAATCAAAGAAATCTTTCATTTGAGGGCATTCTTAAAAAGATGCTAGGAGTTCAGGGTGAGTTGCTCAGTAACAAACACATTCCATAAAACTATACTAGGTTTGAAAGCTCATTTTGTCCATTTACATTTGATACCAGCGAGATGAGATGAGAATAAACCATTTTCACATGAGAATATACCATTTTCACATGAGAATAAACCATTTTCACATGAGAATAAACCATTTTTACATGAGAATAAACCATTTTCACATGGGAATAAACCATTTTCACATGGGAATAAAGAAAACGTTACATAATTGTCTCCAATTCTATCTTACGATCACTG